AGCAAGATTCAACTAGACTCACCATCTCCTGCCCATGGTTTGACCTTCACTTCTCTGAAGGCAGAAGATCTTCAAGTTGTTTCCATGTCGGGGTTTTTATGTGTTTTTTTTTTTAAAGGAGATTTCCACTTGTTCTTGAAACACTAACCCCTATTACTCCCCAAAAGATGAGAAGGATATTGAGATGGAGATTAGATGGTGGCCCAGCCTTAAAGGAAGGAATGTATTGGAAGCAGCAGTGGTGCAGGGCTGCCAGGGATGGTTGGGCAGGTCGTACCCAACTCCGTTCAGATAGACCCTCCATGGAAATGATGCTCTGAGAGTTGTGTCACCCTCCGCCTGTACAGCTGTGGTGGCAGCTTTGGAAAGGAACTCACAGGGTGAAGGAAAGATTTGGGAGTCTAATTATAATAAAGGGACAGTCTTGGGGATCTAGGTGGAAGGAACTAAAAAAAAAGTTTAGTTGAAATCTAGACTCATGTGTACTAGCAGTTGCAGTCTATTTCCCCACTCAGGACTCTGCTTTTGAGGGAGAGAGCAAAGAGAGGGAGATGGAGATGGAGATGAGATGGTGATAGAGATGAGCTCAAGATGGTGATAGAAATGAGATGGTTATAGAGATGAGATGGAGATGAGATGGTGATGGAGATGAGATGGAGATGGAGATGGAGATGAGATGGAGATGGAGATGGAGATGAGATGATGATAGAGATGAGCTGGAGATGGAGATGAGATAGTGATAGAGATAAGAAGGAGATGCAGATGGTGATGGAGATAAGATGGTGATGGAGATGAGATGGTGATAGAGATAAGGAGATGGTGATGGAGATGGTGATGGAGATGGTGATGGAGAGATAGATAGATGCACAGATAGATAGAGATGGAGGGAGAGAGAGATAAAGAGAGTAAGAGACTATAACCCTCTCCTTTATCAAGCATTCCTACCCTCTTGCTGAGGGGGGAGAGCTCTTGCAGTAACAGCTTTCCTCTCTTCGTTTAGGTTTTCCTCACAGCAGACCCTACACAGGAGTTTAGATGCAGCTTTTTGTTTGGGTGAGTGGGTAAGAAATGAGATGAAGGAAAGGCAGGCAGTGAAGGGTGTGGAGGTGACAGGTGCTTATCCAGAGAGCTGCTCCATGAGACTCCGCGAGCCCCTCTAGGAATCTGTCCCACCAAGACAACAGGAAACGGGGGTATTTACAGACCAACTTCTGTCCCTCCTTGTTTCATTCCCTGGCCAAGCACACCCCTGAGGCCAGAGAAGGACTTCAGGTGGAGGGACACAAAAGCTGGAAGTGGGAAGTCACTGTAGGTAACCTGGAGGATGGGGCCCAGGAGACAGGCTGGGCACTCACAGTGTCTGCTGTGGGCCACCAAGAGCACACACGACACGCGAGAGGAGGAAAAAGAGAAGAAATAATTAATAATAATAATAATAATAATAATTCACCCTTTTATTAGCTAATAGCTAGTGAACACTCCTTCTCAACAGACAATGGGCTGAGTGCTTTATAATCATCTCATGGAGCCTCATAAAGCAGCTCTCAGGGCAAGAGCTTCTACTCCCCTCATTTCAATGCCTCAATGGAGGGTTAAAGAAGTGAAGTGACTTTCCCATGGTCACAGAAGCAGCAAGTGGCAAAGAGAATTGTGTAAACCAGGCCGGTTAGAGAGCAAAGGGGAGATTCTTACAATTGCCTGGCTCAGTGTGTGTGTGTGTGTGTGTGTGTATGTGTGTTACGTTTGTCAACAAGAGAATAATGGTTCACCCCAGGACAATCACCTAACCCCCCAGTGGAGACAGAGGAGTATCAGGTGTCCATCCCTTCATCCTTAAAGTAGAACAGGTGTGCGCCTTCCTCAGAGACCCCATTTGACCACTGACCAACAAATGAACTAGTTTATCTTACTATTTCTATTTCTAATTGCAAAGATAATTCACCATCATCATCACACAAATATATATATATATATATATATATATATATATATATATGAAATTACCCAGTAAAACAAAGAAACTTAAAAACTCACAGTTCTGCCACCACTGTTATTATTGATTATACATTCTGTGTGTTTCCGCCCCCTCTCCCCCCACATCCCCAAAGAGTGAAGAATGCAGGTGCATTTGATAAAAGTGAGAAGCTACTTTAACTGGCTTCTTTGCTTACAATGTATCCTTAATATCTTCTTAAATCTTCCTCACACATGGGTTTTCAATGGCCATGCGGTATGCCATCATACAGGCATGCACTGATCTATTTAAACCAACCCCATATCAATTAGATACTAAAGCTGTCTCCAGTTTTTATGATTAAAAAATTCATGAGGAACGTCTCAGAGAAGAAATCCTGTGCACAGTCTTGATTATTTCCATCGGACCATTCTCCAAAGTGCAATTACCAAATTAAATGATTGGCACGATTTTAAGGCTCTTCATATATTTTGCCAAACTCTCCTCCCAAAAGGCTTATCTATTTTTATTTCAACCAGCAGTCTACGAGATGTCCTACTTCCTCCTTAGCAATAGGTATCATTGTTTTTAATATATACATTTGCTAAGCCAGTGAATAAAAACTATTTTTAACTTGCATTCCATTGATGAAAGCCTCTTAAGCATTTATTGGGCATCTACTGTGTTAGTTGCTTAACTGGGCATTTCCATACATATTCTGTCCCCTCTCAACAGTCCTTGGAAGCTGGGGGAATGGCGCCTTTTAGTGAAGGAGGAAGCAAGGCTTAGACAAGCGTAGGTTGCATGCTGAGCTCTGCCACACTCCAGCTGTGTGATCTTGGGGTGTCCCCACCTCCGAGCTCAAGAAGACTAATAACCTGAATCTCTGGAAGTTCTGGTGACCCTACTGCCCCATCACTTGGAGTCCCACATTCTAGTGCTCTGTGGGGACACACAGGCCATTGAACTAGTTTCTCCATTTATTTGGAACAAAGCCCAATGTCATTTCTTTATAATAAATTCACACTTCTCGGGGATTCTTCTACTCAGGAAAAATCCCAGGGGATCTGATTCAATGAATAATTTGTAGTCAACATGCTAGTTATTCCTGTTTTAAGGAGATGTGACATTCCTAACAGGGATTTTAAAAACCATTTGCATAACTAATTCACTCACCCATTTGCTGCTCTGTTCTGCCCCGTGTGTGTTACATAGGACCAACTCGCTAATCCTAAATTTGTGGGTTTTAAGTAAATATCCATTGATGGTCCATAAAGTCGCATGCTTTGGGACCTCCCAAATACTTGGTTCCGGAAATTAATTCAGAGAAAGAGATCCTTCAGGCGGCCAGGTGTTGGGTGTTCCCTATAGCATGACCGGTTCATTTCTTGGTCAGTTGGAATTCCTGGTGGTTTTTCTTTTCCAATGCTGACACACATTCGGTGAAAGCAAATGCCTCCCCTCCAGGGCTACGGGCCAGTGGGTAGACATATTCGGCTCTATCACGCTCAAGTGCAAGGATTCTAAATAGCTTGAAACAAGCAAGAGAGAGCAGATGGGGCCAAAAAAGCCGCTGAAAGACAACTCCTTCTTCCTTCCTCTGCCTAGTTCTCTTCTATCCCATCAGTAAAAAGAACCAAAAAAAAAAAAAAAAAAAAAAAAAAAAAAAAAAAAAAAAAAAGGGTGTTCAAGTCCCTTGTACTTTTTAAGCACATGGTATTTATTAGGCATTAATTGGCACACAAATATACGAAACGAGTACTTAATTCTCCCCTCCCCCCTCCCTTAACAACATAAAAAGACAAAATTGCTTGAAGACACGCACGTACACACACACTCACACACTCGCACGGACGTGGACGTATTCAGTCTCACATATTACCCTGTTCTTTTTATTAGGGTCAGTTAAAAAAAAAAAAGAATTTTTTTTTTTTTAAATCAAGAAAGCAAAGCACATTGGAAAGAGAGGAGAAGAAAAAAAAAAGAACGCAAACTTGGTTTTTGAGTATCAATAAAATTAAAAGCTCTTGACCAGCTCCCATGCTGGATTTCATGTTATTACTTAATTAGAACTCCTATTTATAAATAAATAGTACCAGTAAAATATTACATCTGAAGAACCCTGCAATAACGCTTTACTTACACACTTTTTTTTTTTAACACTGTTTTCTGCTTTCCATAACCACAGTTTGGTATCGGCATTGGGGCGATTCCGTCGGAGAGAAGGACCGATGAGCACGTGCTGCCTCTTCTTTAGAAGTCGTGGCTTTGGCTTTGGCGTCCAGTTGGACTGTGGGGAGGTTTGCAGGCTGGGGGCTGGCTTTGTTCCGTAGCCGGAAGAATATGGACTTTGGCTTTCTCGCCACTCTTGTCAGCACGGAGCTTGCCCTTTGCTTATCACAGTTCTGCCTGCGTGTAACCCAGGGCTCTTTAAGTTTTTCAAAGCAAGCTTTCTGGCTGGGATGCTATAGGCCACATTTTAGCAACAGATGGCTGGGAAGACAGGAGCGCTGAGTGAGATATGATGCCAGGTGGAGCCCAAGGTTATCCTGACCCCCCCTCTAGGAGGCAAACTGGGCTCCTTGGTGACGGGGAAGGCAGGACACAATCAGAAAAAGCTGGGGACAGAGGAGACCTTTTCAAAAACATCCCATGGCAGAGGTAGGTCATTTCTTAGTCAAGGGGAGGGTGGCGAATTTTGGTTTTAGGGGTGGCTTCGAGGAAGAGAACTCCTCGGCTACATACTTTGAACTTGCCTCAGACCTCCCCCAAAGTAAGGGACTGGGTCCCATTAAGAAAATTGAAAGAAAAAAATATATTATTATTTATTATATAACAATGTCAACATTAACAGCAAGACAGGAAAAGACTCCAACTCTGCATTAGGATAACACACTCGATGAGGCAAGACTTGCTGGAGACCAAAAGAAGGAATCTGGGAGGCCCTCCGGAGGTGGTGTGAATGTGGCCCCTGGATGAGTGTGGTGGTTGTGGTGGGAATGGGACTCATTTTTTGTTGTTGTTCTTTTTTCTTTTTTTTTCTCTCTAAGTTTTGGGACGAAATGACAAAGTCACATTTTTTGAACTGTGATTTCAGGCTACTGATTAGATCAGAGTCTGGGGGAGGGGGGTCTCAAGCGCAGGCATAAATGTGGGGTGAAATGAAAAACCTTGTCCGTGGGGTTCTCTTGGCTACCATCTCTCTCCTGCTCTCTCTCTCTCTATTGTCTCTCTCCTGCTCTCTCTCCTCTCTCTCTCTCTCCTCTCTCTCTAGCAAATGTCTATTAGGAAGCAGGCCTCGCTTTAGCTATTCTCGCTCCACTCTGGCACCATGCCAACCCCATGCACCGAGTGGTACTGGTGTGGGGACAGGGTCCTTGGCACGCCATGGGAGTAGAGGAACTCAGATGGTTGCAGGCCGCCAGGGGACTGCAGGCCAGTCTGAGGCCCACACTGCCTGACCACAGGCTGGTGGGCCACGGAGGTCTGGTGCTGGAACATCCCCTCCCCGAGCTGGGGGGAGCCGTGGTTGGCGATGCCAGCCAGCCGGGGGACCAGAGGCCCCGAAGTGAAGTGAGCCGAGAAGTGTTGGTAGGGTAGCCTGTCCATGGGCTGCACGGTGGTGACCGTGCAGCTGCTGTAGGAAGGCATGCTGGGCCACGTGTTGCAGCTGATGTCCTCCAGGCTGGGCACAGGCTCACTGGGCGGCGCAGAGCTGGCATACATGCAGGCCTGCCGCTGGGCTGACTCTGTCCTGTAGGAGGCACTCAGGCCCTGCTGTTGGGGGTAGCTGGGGCGATAGAACGGGTCTTCTTCGCTGGGCGATGTCTCCATGTAGGGCTTCTTGTAGGGATGGTCTGCGGTGGAGCATTCTTCATCTGCTAAGAGAGGAGGAGAGAAACCCATGAGGCTGGGACCAGCCACCCCACAACTCAAGGCAGAGACAGCCATTTGGCTGAAAGCCTGAAGAATCAAGTCTCTTAAGACTGTAAGCCCAGGCCTCCATTCTGATACAAAGGGGTGGACTGTCATGGGGAGGATCTTGGGCTGTGACATTCTAAGCAAAGTCAGACCTTTCTGAACTCATTGTCTTCATCTGCAAAGCATAAAGATTAATAATGGCACTTTTCAACATAGGGTATTGTTGAGAATGAAATGGGAGAATGTGTATTAGTCCAGAACTTGGTACAAGGACACACTCAATAAATAAGAATTACAGTTATGTATTATCTTCCCTCCCCGGCTTGTAAATTCCACAAAGGCAGGGCATTTCCAGCACCAGTTCACACCTAGTAACAAAAATAATAATAAAGTCAGCACACAGACAGTAGAAACAGCTCATGAAGTGTTTGAGGTACTCTCCATGAGACAACCCATTTCATCTTCACAAAAGATGAAATTTTCTTTCATAAGCCCTATGAAACAGATTCTATTCTACCTGCATTCTCCAGAGGTGAGAAAGGAGACACAGAGAGGTTGACAAGCTTGCCAAGGTCTCACATGGCTTAGCAGCAGGGCAACTAGGATCAGAATCCAAGTAATCTACCTCCGAAATCTCTGCTAATAATACCATGCGGTACAGAAATGACACGCAATAAACATTTGTGCGATGGATGGAGGGGTGGATGGGCAAGTGGACAAATGGATGGGAGCTCGAATAAATTAATTTCCAAATCCTTTCCTGAAGCCTTATGCAAGCAAGTGCCTCGTCAATATCTGCTGAGTCGGTACAAATTAATGTGTGACTATTCTGCTGCGAAGCAAGCCACTTTGTTCACTAGTATTCCCTAGTGTGGCAAGTGGGGATGGTTCTGACCACTTCAAGGTCATGGACCTTTTTGGGAACTAACAAAAGTGCAGAGCTCTATCCTAGAAAAATACACTGAAACACAAAGCTTGGAGAATGGGGTACACACACAACTTCCAGGGCCTCAAAGACTCCCTAAATCCAGACTCCAACAAGAAGTCTAGATGTGTCTGGGTTTGAATATGGCTCTTCCACTTCATATCTGTGGGACACCAGCATTTCAGGCTAATTTTCACCATCTCTGAGTCAGAGTCAGAATACTTCCTCCACTGGATGGCGAAGAATTAAATGCGATGAGACATCTTCAAGGGCACCAGTCAGTCTCGTGGCAGACCCGATGTATAAGAACACGCCCGCAGGTGTTTCTTTCAGGGGAAGCAGACCTGAGGAATTTCTACCCAAGTGTAAACCTCAACCCAGATTCATTCTTAAGCTGGATTTATACCCTCAAACTGGAGATTGTCTTTCCTGTCTTCCAGTTGCTTTCTAATCAATAAGAGTTAAGAAATATTTCTGTCTTTAAGGGGGTTGGTGAAGAAAAATAAAATACTGGGATAACCTTCCACTCACTGTGATGTCCTTCCACATAAGGGCAGGACACAGACTCGGTGATGGGAGGGAATAATAGCTTTTACTTACTAGGTGACTTACTAGGTGATTGAGCACTTACTAGGTGACCTGACTCTAATCTCATAATAATTCCTCCATGTGGCTCCTACCTGGGGAAGTGACCCACCCAAGGTCATGCAGCTGGGAAGGATAGAGGCTGGCATCAAAGCCAGGGCTGACTGACTCTGCCACACTTGCTTCAGGCTCTCTAGATTTCCAATATCCAATGCCACTCACCTAGTCAGTCAACAGGTGTTCATGTTGACTGACTACCAAGTGCCAGACCTGTGCCAGCTGCTAGAGATGGAGTGGTCAAAGGTGGTCATAGCCCTACTCTTGGTACACATCCTTGGCCCCTGTCCATTCTCCCCTGAGCAGTGAGGACAGATGCTGACCTATGATTAGGAGGTGGTTCTCAGAGAGGAAGCTCTAAGTCGATCACTTGTCCCACCATAAATCCTTTGACCTTGGTCTGTGTTACAAAACAGCTCTCCGGCCAAGAGACGGAGCCCAGGTTCCACCCTACATCTCTATTTGCATCATAGACACTCAAAGATTTGTCCTCAAAAAAGTGAAAAAGGCAGCCACCCTTCCAGGTGTCTGTCTACGCCAAGCCAGAGGTTGAAGACATGCAGAAGAGGATGACCACACTGTCCACCTTTCCACTGGGCATTCTTTGGTGTCTTATAGACACTCTACTTTGTTGTCCTGGTCACTTCCTCCCTCCATTCTTCCTTCCACTCCCCCAGACCCATAAATCTGGATGTTTCCATTGGTGCTGGAATCAGAACCTTCGGGTTTTCCATTTAACCAGGGCGTTCCCCTTTTCAATAATAGCAAGTACAGCTGCAGGGTACCCTTGGCAAGAGGGGAAAAAAAAAAAAAAGGCAAGCTAACCATTCCCAAGTTTCTGATCCACTTCCAGGTTTGTTACAAGTAAAAAAAAAAGGAAGAATAATAGAATAATATGAAAAGGGCTGGAGCCCATTTTGGAAAATCGTAAAATTACACATTCCAGTCTTTAATACCCCAATGATCGGCTGCAGAGTCCGAAGAAGGCTCGATACTGGCTCATTGATGAAAGCGGGTCCCGAGTCTTCTCAGATTCCTCTAGAACCTCACCGCACTGTAAAGACATTCCGAAGCAAGCGTCCAAGCTTCAGGTTGTGATAAGTGCTTTGGATGTCATCTTCGTTTCTTCGGGCTATGCTTTGGTTTCTGCCTTTTTCCTGGGAACCACCATAAACGATCCACAGCAAAAGGTCTCTCTCCCTGCCAAGCCATGTTTACCTTCCAGGGTGAGGGGATGAGGGGCTGTGGTCTCGGGTCAAGTCCCAGTTGAGCTGAGCCCACAGCTTGGTCTCAGAAAGGTGTGCAGGAAGAGAGGTCCTGAGCCCAGCTCTGTGCCCCGAGAGCAGGAAAGCTCTTCCGGATTCCGCTCACCTATCACTGCCCAGTGCCGGGGGGAACCTGGTCCCTTGCATTTGTCTGGATGCTATTGATTCTGGGCAAAGTGGCTTTAATGATGAATCCAGAACACAGATTTTTAGGGCACAGAGTTATGTTTCTGGCTCTTGCTGGCTATGTGACCTTGGATGAACCACCGGGACCATTTGAATCTCAGTTTTTGACTGTACATGGCAATATTGCAGGAATTCCATGCAGGAATGGCGTTGTTAATAAGCAGTCTAGCTTGCTTGCACATACAGGAAGTGTTTAAATCTCATCTGTCTAAATATCTGGCGTACTGGCTTTTCCCCCTTAGAAGGCTGGGCAGGTGGCTCGGTGGAGGTCATCCAATACCTGAAGGAATTAGGGTGGATCCCGGAGCTGGGAAACAGCTGCGTTCCCAATTGCTAACCCCACTGAGCAAATATCGCCGCCATCCCCCATGGGCCATTTCCCTTGGCAACTGAGTTCGTTCAGCTCAAGCCCCAGAGTAGAGTGGTGAGCAGCCCCTGCCTGGCTGAGTGACCTTCAGCAACTCTAAGGTGGGGCTATCTCCAGGCCTGACTCACCTAACAGTGTCTTTCAGCTGGACAGCCCAGCCTTGCAGCTTTCATGGAACTGCTGTTCAGATGGGAGGGAGGGGAAGAGGGAAGGACGGAAAAGGGTGGGTGGATTTTAGCTCTTGGCTTAAAGTAGAAAGGACTGGAATGCTATTGTAGGACTATCCTTGATTAGGAAGCAAAATACTCCAGCTCATATCTCACTCAGCCCTTATGTGAAGCCACTGGTTTACTTACTTGCTTACCTGCCTCGCCCAGTGGAACACATTTCATGGGGGCGGGGCTCTGCCACCCTGCTCCTCTCCCGAGCACCAGCACAGTGCCCAGCGCAAAGTAAGTGCCCATCAGTGTAAACCTGATGATGCAGCCCAGATCTGCCCGCACCGCACTAACCTCAGCAGCCTAGCCCTCCTCCTAGTCCTCTGCTTGCCCCGCAGAATGGGCGAGGACGTGTCCTCTGGCTCCAAGAGCACGGAGGACCCAGTGAAGAAAGTCGCATGAAATCGCTCTTAAAGGCACATCACACTGAGAAAATGCACCCTGCAAAATCACTTACTATATTCAATGCCCCTTCCCCTCACTCCTCTGACTTCCCTTTGAAAACCCAGTGCAGTGAACGGCTTGCCTGAAATCTTTATTTGGGTTGCTAGTCGGGTGGGAGGGTATCAAGGTGCGGGGGAGGAAGGCAGACAAGTGCTCTCCCAGGCCCCGGGGTCCTGGCTGGGTTGAGTGGCAGTGATAAAAGACCGTCCTGGCTCCATCCATCGGGACAGATAGTTTGGAGACAGCTGGGCCCAAACACAAGGAGCCCTCTGGCCTGCCTGGCCCTTTGACATTGCATAGCACGGCCTCCCGGCTCGTTGGAAGGGAGACAGACAATGAGGGGAAGTCAGATAGTGCGCGGGGCAGGCCGGGGCCAGGGGAAAGCCACCCATGGAGTTATCACTTAATGGGAATCCCAAACTGGAAGGAAACCTCCACTGATTCCTTATCACTTTACAATGGAGGCTGATGATGAATTGCTTTTTGTCCTCTCAGGCAGGCAGGACAGACAGCGCCTGGCTGGAATGTCCCTGTCTCTGGGAGCTTTCCTTTGGGAGCGGAGGGAGGTGAGAAGGGCAGAGGTTTCTGGAAAGGTGAAGAGAGCCCTGCAGGGTGTGTCCCCCGCAACCCAGTGTGTAGATCGCAGTGTAGATGGATTGGAGGGCGGGGCCGCTTACCAGCTGGGTGACACTGGGCAGGCTACTCCACTTCTCTGAGCCTCAGTTTCTGCACCCGTGAAAAGGGGGTAATTCTTCACCTTCTTATCTCCAGCCTGTCACTGCATCCTGATTCCACCTACATCTCCCGCCCTTCTCCCCACATCCTGGTCTGAGCCACCATCAGCTCACTCCCGAGCTCCTAACCGCCTCTCACCTGAGCTCTGGCGCTCATTGTGGCCCCGCCCATCACAGCCCAGTGACACTTCCAAACAAACCACGTCCTGTCACGCTCAGTTCAAACCCCTCCAATGGCTGCCCGCTGGTGTTCGGATAAAACTGAAGTCCTTCAAATGGCTCACAAGGGCTGGCTGCCTGCTGGCTCCTGCCCTCCCCTCACCGAGTTCCAGCCTGTCATCCACTCCCCGAGGGGGTGGACCCATCTTTGTGCCTGACACTCAGTAACACCCTCTTCTCCCACCCAGCTACTCAGAGCTAAACTCTTCCCTGATCCCCCTAGGGCCTAGGCCGATACCCCTTCATGGTCACAGCACTTTGTGTATCTCCTTTACGGCACCCGGTCGCCATTTCTCCCAAACAATCATATAATTATGTCATCCTGGTGTCTGATCTCCTGGGACGAGTGAACTGCATCAGGGCGGGACGGTGGGAGCGAACGCTCATTGAGCACTTGCTATGTCAGGTCCTGTTCTGGGCGCTTTATGTGGGGGATCTCATTTCATCCCCTAACAAGCCCACAGGGTGGGTACTATTATTACCCCCATTTTGCAGAAAAGGTAGTTGAGGCTCAGAAAGTCAAAGCAACTTGCCCAGGGCTACACAGCGGGAAAGTGTCCACTATGGCGCTGTCTTGCAATGGACCAGCCACCAACGCCGGCCTCCACCGGAAGCTGATATGCGTTCCCGGGGGGATCCCGCCAGATCCCCCGTGAGAGTCCACGGCTCCCGTGATCGAAAGCGGGTCACCGGCCAGGAATGCACTTATAAGGATGCTGCTATAAATACTGGACCGAAAAAAAGCGCCTTCATTCTTTGCAACTTCTTCCTCCTCTTCTTTCGGTCTGGCCTTAATTTAATAGGCAGAGCTCCCTAATTCAAACCTGCTGAGCTCCTAATCAGTGCGCTTGACCCAATCTCGCTAGCAAACTTGTAGCGGAGGATGCCATGTTGAGGTTGTGGCCGATCAGCAAAGGTGACACCACAGTGCGGTGGTTGGGGGCCCAGGCGCAGTCTGCAGACCTGGTGTGGGTTCAAATTCCGCCTTGGAGAACCACCAGCCTGTGGTTTTACCTTTCTGAGCCTCAGTTTCACCACCTGTGCATTGGTTCATAGAAGCACCTCCTTACTAGTGTTACTGAGATGGTCGCTGTCTGGAACCTAGGCAGGGCACCCTTAGGTGTCATAGGAAATAGGGTTTCCAGGCAGGAACCTGCACCGTGAGACACTTCACCCTGCTCATGCCTGAAGATGCAGACATGTCTGCAGGCATCTGGTCTGCAGCCCATCCAGCAGCGGACCTGCTGGGAGTCGGGCCAGGAGGCCTGGTGGGTGATATTGTTCAGGCCTTTGAGATCCTATAGCTTGGATGAGCTTCAGGTAAATCCGAACCCCCAGCCTCACCCCTGTCAGCTCCCCAGCCTGGGCTTGGACCAAACACAGCTCTTCCCTCCTTCAAAATGCAAGATGAGTACATGTCACAGAGCCAACCCCATCAGTTTCCTCGTGTAACCCCGGCTCCAGAGAAATCCACCAAAGCATCGTTTGCATTGGTTCCAATGACTGAGGTGTGTGTTTTTAAAGGGCCAGGCACCGGGCACCGGACTTCCAAAGGCATCGTGCTGGCTGCTGGGGCTTTGTGATACAACAGCTAATTCGAGGCTGGGGTCTGGGCCTGTGCGAGCAAAACAGTGGCTTGGCCCTGCGCTGAGGAGTCAGCCTTGCGCTAACAGCAGCCTGACAGCACAACATGGCCACACCAAGCCTACGAGACAGGTCCCGCCTCAGCCCTGTGTGCAGACCTTTTTTAAAGGAGGCATAGAAGTGCCACGGCCTGTTTGGCTCTGTGGTTGGAGCATCGGCCAATGGACTAAAGGTCATGGGTTCGATTCCCAGTTCAGGGCACATACCTCAGTTGCAGGTGTGAAGCCCGGCCCTGGTCCGGGCAGGAGTGGGAGGCAATCAGTGGCTACGTCTCTTTCACATTGATGTTTCTCTCTCTCTCTCTCTCTCCCCACTCCTCTTCACTCTCTCTAAAAATCAATGAAAAAAAAATCCTCAGGTGAGGATTAAAAAAATAAATGAGGCCTACAGGAATTAAGTAACAGGCTCCTAAGCATGAAAATTTGCAACTGGCAATGGTAAGATTCCTCCCAGATGTCTGATTCTGCAAACCACGGGCAAAGTTGTCTGCAAAGCATGAGGCTCCATGGCCCCGTCCCCTGTGTCCATTTTCTCCAGCCTTCGCCTGGGTGAGCGGCCTTCTCGTTACCCCAGCACACACTTCCTGGAGGGATGTCTGCCATTGACACCATCACAGCTACCACTTCCTGGGCCCTCACAAGGACCGGGTGCTTTAGGAAACAGCGCCATTTACAAAGCAGAAAGCTGGGAGACCTGCTGGGGTCACACAGGAAGCTGGCGGGAGTGGTGAGGCTCCAGCCTGGGTTTCCCTGGCCCCATCGCCTTCCCATCTCACTGTCCCGGCTACAGTTCGCACCAAGCAATGGTTCCAGCATGCTGAGCTCAACCACACCAACACATCACCTTCGATTCTGGCTCAAGTAAACGGGCCACCAGAGGTTCCCTTCCTTAATCTGGTCCCTTTGGGTTCAAATGGCTGAGGAGGAGTCACCCATTCTTATTGGGCAAAGTTCACTCTGAGTGTCTCAGACACCAGCCCGGTACATGGGAAAAGGGGATGCAAAGAAGAAGGAAAGTCAGTTGTGCTTTCTTTTGTTCCCTCTGTGCTGGTTTTGGTCTGGAGAGGAAAGGAGAGCTCAGGACCCCATGGGAGGAAGCCTGGCCCGTGCACTGAGAAGCACACCAGTGAGGCCCATCGCAGCAGCACGGCGTGCGATGCTCCGGGACGCTGGCAGCTGCCCGCCTGTCCGCTAGCTGAGAGGCAACAGAAACCCACTTCCTCCTCCTGAGGCAGCACTTCTGCTTCATCACTTAAAAAAAAACGAGGCAACTCCAGCCTCACACAGCTACAACCTATTCTGAAGTTTCAAAAAATGCAACTTGCAAAATACATACAATTGGATATCAACTGCTAAACATAAAAACAAAACTGTTTTTAGTTATGTGAGTGCGTGTGTGTAAATGAGTAAAAAAGATCTGGACCTTTGGAATAAGTGCTCCCCAAGGAAGGGGCTAGAATTAGGGGAACAACTGTGTGCTGGTATGGTTTTAATTTCTTTTCTTTTAAAATATATATATATAATATTATTGATTTCTTAACAGAGAGGAAGGTAGAGGGATAGAGAGTTAGAAACATCGATGAGAAAGAGACATCAATCAGCTGCCTCCTGCACACCCCCTACTGGGGATGTGCCCGCAACCAAGGTACATGCCCTTGACCGGAATCGAACCTGGGACCTTTCAGTCCGCAGGTCGATGCCCTATCCACTGAGCCAAACCGGTTTCGGCTGGTTTTAATTTCTTGCAATCTCTATGTATGTTAGTATTGTTTGCATTTTTTAAAGAAATAAATGTAGTTGCGGATACTTATTTCCCCCAAGGAAGGGAAAGAAGTAGAGAAAGAGGCACATCGGGCAGGGGGTGCCCACTCACCTTTCCTTTTGGTGCAATGGTAAATCTGGCCGTGCTCCGGGGGCAGGGGGTATGGATTGGGTGGGGGCAGGAGGTCCTGGGAGGGTCCGGACACACCATTCTCACACTGGTACTGGGACCCCAGGTTGGATGAGGTGGAGAGAGCTCGAGGCTCACTGCTGAAAGGGCTGTGGTTGGAGGCCACTTTCTGTCTCACTGTGCTCCTGGGAACCACGGGATATTCTTTACTGAAAGAGAGAAGATGGGAAATAGCATCGATCAGTGCTCTGCTCCAGCGGGCCCCTCCCTCCCCCCACTGGCTGAGCCACGGGCCGAAGAACCCACCAGAAAAATCACAATAAGAAACAAAGGGGTCTTTGTTGAGCAAAGTGATCCAATTATACTCAAGTACATCGGATGTCTTGGATATACATATTTGGGCCCTAACTTTTCATGCCTTCTACAGTAGGCAATTAGGTTTGTGAATAGTTCTACCTGTATACAGAGAGGTAAATGGGTCGAGAATGGTAGCTGACCACTAGAATAGTCAGGGATGATCCTAAATTATCCTCATCTGAATAGTTTGCTGCTTCGTGCCTTAGAATTTCCTTTTGAGCTACAGTACTTGTCACCACTGACTTCATATTTCACTTCTCCGTGCCTTCGTTTTCGAATGAATAGAATACAGATCTCCAGCTCAGAGGGGTGTGGAGAGAAGTGACTTAATACCCGTGAAAAACTGAATAATAATGGGCACACGAGTGCTCAACCAATGACAGCCATCATTGTTATTGTCATTGTTAACAGAACTGGATTCCTGTGCGATCTGTGCATTTTATTGATGCATTTAATCATATCATTCTGAGAACTGAGCCACGGTGTTCACCAGGATGGCAGGGAGGGCCATGGCGCCACACAGGTTCAGCATCCCTTCTCCAGGAGAAGTCTGTATCCGTCAGTCCCAAACGTGGTCGTGCTTTTTATCATGACCCGAACCAACTCTTGTTTAATTGAGTGCATTTTTTAAAAATTAAAATTGCATCCAAAGAAGTTTAGCCTCACTCTGAGCAATATCTGTGAAATTATGGGCTTGCAATGCTAATTATGGTTCCTGTAAGGCTGATAAAATAAATCCTTTCCCATTAAAATTGAAGAGTACACCTGAAGTCCTCCCACGGAAGAAAACACTACACCTAACACATTTCTGAAGGATGCCTCATTGACCCATTTCATCTTCTCCATGACCATAGGAAGTGGGTGGTGTTCTTGTCCCCATTTTACAGATTAGGAAACTGAGGCCTGGAGAGAGTTAAGCAACTTGCTCATGGCCACAAAGCTATAAAGAGAGCACCTGACACCTAACCCAATAGTCCCCTTAATGATTTATAGACAGTCTCCTAATTACTCCTGTCAATATTTAAAACATAATGTGCTGTTAGGGGGGCAGGGGTTAGGAGTTCACCACTCCCACCCCTCAGGGGTGTAACAGCCCACTCTGGGTCCTGCCTTTGTTTGCCATGTGGAAGCACGTCAGAGTGGCCTGGCAGGGACATACAGTGTCTGCCAAGTTTCCATGAGGCTCCAGACACCATCAGGACACCCGGGGGTCTCTGAGCCCAGTTTTCCCGTGGCATGTGCCATCCCAAACCAAAGCTGGAGCCATCCTGCACAGCCACACCACTCAGAATCTCTCCCTGGGGCCCGCAGGCTGAAAGGAATGAAATTAGCTTTATAGTTCTCTCTTTGCGGCTCCAGCTACGTCATGGAAAATGAAGACGAAGAATTATAATAATAATAAAACATAAAACCTGTCAAATCTTGCTGGCAATTCTATTTGGGTCTGCTTAGTAGAAGGACTGGACTGTCGGAGCTCCCCAAGAGGAGGGGAATCTCTCTTAGTTTTATGTTCTTAATGGAGATGGGTTTTTCTTAATTAAAGAAAATACCTCCCAAAAATATTGGCTGAGGGAGTTTACAAGAGAATGTATCAATGGGCTCTGAGGAATTCTACATTCTGGCCAAATTGCAAAATTACTGTCTGGGAAGGGCAAGTCCTGCCTTTGATTACTAACACACACAGAAATGGGACAGCCATTTCACCCCAATATCCTCTTGTCCCTCACAGCTTGCTTCCTGCCAGCGAGCTTGAAACATCCTCCCCACCACCCATCGCTCACATCTCACATACAATGTCTGCAAGCCCATCTGACAGGTGTCAAAACAGAGGCCCAGAAAGGTGAAGGTGAAGACTTCTCCATCGGGACGAGCCAATAGAGGCAAAGGGATAAAAATGCTGCCACCAGACAACATTTGGGCAGTTTTCTCTGGGCTCATCAATGGGCCAATCAAAGGAACATGATTAGTAGCAATACAGCCAAATCTCTCAAATCCTTGTGATGAGGAGATAAATTATATCCTCCACAGCTTGAGAGCATCATTGAAGAATCCAGGGCACACAGGATTAAAGTGAAAGTTGGAAAGCCTTGTGTTTCTGGAAAGGAGGGCAGCAACAGAGGGCTGGTGTTTCATCACCACCACCACCACCACCACCATCACATCATCATCACCATCATCACCATCACTATCACCACCACCACCACCACCACCACCATCATCACATCATCACCATCACCACCATCACCACCACCACCACCGTCACTATCATTGCTACCGTCCTCGTCCTTATCTTCCTCATCATCCATGTTGTTCTGTAAGTGTCTTCTAATGTCCCAGCCACTGTACCGGTATATACTTTCCCTCATTTGATCCTGACAAGAACTCCATTTCATCAGTATGATTAGATTTACTTTAGAGCAAGCACGTCAAACTCGAGACCGACCTGCAGCCTACATGCGGCCCACAACAAATATTTTTGCCGCCCAGCCAGTATAACAGTGTGTGAGAAACATTTTAATAATTTTGTAACTTAATTTTTGCAATATCCTGTTATACATAATTATTAATAACAAACCACAATGTTCACTAATGATGGATTACTATCATTCATTTCCTTTTTGAGCCTACTCCTCACTCGCAGGCACACCATTTCTCCACTAATACTAGCAGGGAATATTTTAGCAGCCGATTACCACGTCAATAGTCTTGTACTGATTTGTTTGGTGTGCACAACAGGAAATATTTCGCTTTTGGAGAACAAGAAAAATAGGTTTATTTGCATTACGCTTATTAAATTGTGCAGTCATTCAGTGTCTGGTAAGTTAATGTTCAAGAAAAAATATTAATCTTTATCAAAATGTTCTATTTTATGTTAACGATGTGACTCATTTATTTCAGTCCTTTGTATTCAGCATGTCTCTAGTAAATAAACCTACTTTTCTATAAAAATTGAAGCTTTTGCTTTTTTTGTGGCCCACACAGACTTAAACCTTGTTTATTTGGCCCGTGATAGCCTCTGAGTTTGACATGCTTGCTTTAGGGTAAAGAGATTAAGCTGCAGAGATGTGCAGCAGCTTGCCCCAGAAGACACAGCTAAGAAGAGGTAAAGCTGCGCTCCAGCCCGGGACAGCTATTCTAAAGGTCTTGATAATAGGAAATTGCTGCCTTCACACCCACCTCGTGGGCAACACGGCCCTCCTGTGATAAAGACTTCCTGGTGACACCAGAGTTGGGGACTGGCTACACCCGGGCAATGTCAGGTTCTCCCGGCCAAGCTGCTGGTCCTACTGTGTCAGGAACTAGTAGTTTACCGTCAAATCCCACTGCTCTCGGCTGTACCAACAGCTGCGCCGACATCCTGCCAACTCGCTCTGCCTAATCTGGGCTCCCAGGACACCCGCCGAGAGTCCTGAGCACCTCTTTTCACTCTGGGTGTCGAGCCCGCAGACCAGCCTCTCCCGGGCTCTCACATTCTGTTCCACGTGAGCGAGTGCAATGAATGACGCCATTGTTGCCAGGCCTGGGTTGTAAAACGTTACAAGGGAATATTGAGAGCCAGGGCCAAGCTGCACCCACAGCGTGCCGCCAGCTAACGAACGCCCCTGAGAACCTTTCCACCGCAGCGTCTGAATTGGCCCTTTCACTGCAGCAGGTGGCCGCTGCTGGCGAGCGCAGGGCCGGTGGTGCTGTGCCCTGCGCTGCTTACTCAGTGTCTGGCAGCCTTTCTCAAACAAGCAGTGCAGCGGGAAGGCCAGCGACTGTGGCATTCCTGTTCTGGGGGGAGCCGGATTCCTCGGGCCAGCACTCGGTCTGCGATTAAAAGGGCCCACAAGCCCGCCACAGCTGTCGCGATTTATTAACTCTCCTGCGCTTGGGGAAGCTATTCTGACGTAATGTGTGGACATGGGAGGAACGGGACGGTCCACCAGGTGGGACTTAGCTCAGTGCTGATAATGATCACGCTCTCCTTCCCGTCTACGTTTGTTCGGTTACTTGGTTCTCAGTAGGTTTGGGATTCAGTCCCCAGTTGGGGTGCATACCAGAGGCAATGGATCAATGTTTCTCTCTCACATCAATGTCTCTGTCTGTCTCTCTCTCTCTCTCTCTCTCTCTCTCTCTCTCTCTCTCTCTCCCTTCCTTCCTCCCTCCCTCACTCCCTCTCTTCCTCCCTCTCTCTAAAATCAACAAAAACATATTCTTAGCTGAGGAAGAAAAAAAAGAAAGGCTTGGCATATATTTGGGACACACTGCTCAATAAACACCACCTTATAAATCACACATTACTGTATTTTGAAGCAGTTCTTATCTTGCAAGGGCTTTGAATGGTCTATGAACAGCCCTCCTCCCCCATGTATCAGACATTTAGGGCTCAGGGCTTAGAGTGGGAGGGGCTGAGATGAGGGAAATCTCTCCAGGGGAGAGGGTTTCAAACTTGACTGCATACCTGTAATCTCCTGGGATTTTTTTTTTTTAATACCAACTCCTGAGCCCGCCCCCAGAGACTCTGATCTTTGCCTTCTGCAGTGCAACAATGACATCAGGCGTTCCCAAAGAAAAAGCAGCCTTATGCCAGTTACACTGAACCCTACAACGTGAAAGAGACTCAGAACCCTGGCTGCTTCTGCGGGGAGGCGGAGGCGGGCATTCCCTGGGATGGGGCGTGAGGGAAGTTCAGGGGTGTAGGGGTGCTGTCTGATGATGGAGGCTTGGGGGGTATAGGCACAAGTATGTGCACTTGTCAGAACGTGAATGGTGCACGTGAGGTTTTTGCAGTTCACTGTGTGCAAATTTCACCTGAAGTGAAGCATTGTGAACAACAATGGAATCCTACTAGTTAACGCTGGGCATGCCG